ATGTCAGATCAGTTATAGAATAACATACATTTGTTAATTCATCGACAGTCTTTAATTTCTGTTTCTTCTTAGTTTCGCCACACGGACGCGATATACGTATATATCCATTCGTATATTTTTTAGAATAAAGCCACAGTGAAGTATATTCATGTCATTTCGATTATTGTCGCTTGCTCTTATTACTCCTTCAGGAAGAATATAGCGTTCCCGATCGCCTCCCCTCCGTCCAATCATCAACAATTTGTCTTTGCGCATGAAGACAACACCCTCGCTTATCACCGTTATGACTAATTGTGATTGAAGAAGGTTTGATATGCACAAATTGATCGTTTCCAATTTCCCATTCTGCTATCGGTTTTTTTTAATGTCGGACATGTCGTGTGGCGATATGAAGAGCTTTGACGCGAGCGACGCGTCTTTTTTGTGTTTCAGGCTTGAGTTTCTGTACGTTAGCCACAATACCACCTGGTAATACGCGGAGCTACGTTCTCCATTCGTACCCGTCGTCGGTGACCACGGCAACAACAGCGATGCGGATCAAGATCAAGGATGTGGCCGAGAAGAAGTTTCCCTGCACAAAATGCAGCAGTGCTTTCAGTCGCAAGGGCGGTCTGACCTATCATCAGAGAAATGAGTGCGGCCAGGAGCCGCGATTCAGCTGCCCATATTGTGTCTATCGCGCTGGGCACGTCTCGAATGCGCGTCGACACGTGAAGAAATGCCATCCCGGTCAGCTCGTGTATGCGATCGACCTGGGCAAGTTGCAGAAACGCGACCCTTGAGATCAGGCGTCCACCCGAAAAATCGGCGTCATTCTTTGCCCCGAAGAACAACAATTCGTGAAGATCAAAAGTATCGGATGGCACCATGCAACACAACGCCGAACATCGTGCGAAGATGCTCCACTCATCGAAGCGACGCAACTGGGAAGAATGGTAGAAATTCTGAAGATCTTACTTCTTTTTGTTTTTCATTCGGTATTGTTCGCGATTACACGAAGAATACCGTAAAATGCGTGAGAGCAGACTTATCACATGAACAAGGATATATCTAGTTTTTTTTTCCAGGGATATAGGGCATCCTCGACGTTCGTCCGATTATTTTCACTTCGCTTAGTCGATCTGAAGAATTGAACTACTGGAAGATAGTTGTGGATTGTGCGTATTCCATTTGTGTCTCGATAAAATTATTTGTGACTGTCATTATTTAAGGACGGTATGTAATGGAGGATCAGTGTGTTTTTTTCATTATAGTCGCAGCGATTTACACGTGAACATTAATTAATAGCGAACTAGTAAAAGATTGTAAATACCTCTGTTAGGAAATATAGCAAACTATTATTAATCGTTTTTATATGCGACGGTTACTGTTGTTAACTGTGGAATAAGTCGGAAAGAATTTTCGATTGTATGCGAAAATTTTGAGAAATTTTATTATCTACAAAAGAATTTTCTGTGCGAGAAAATGTTATTTAGCATAATATTTTTTAATGTAAATATCGTTAATATCTCAGTGCAGTATTATTTTATTGTTTGTCATTACAAATAATTTATGTGCATTAAAAATCAGTTACATATGTATTTATTGTTCAATAATACTGAAATAATTGCCGTTATTTTTATTTTCTATAAAACTATATTTCATAAAAATAAAAACCTTATAAAAACAAAAAAAGTCTTATATAAAAATCTTATAAAAATAAAAAAATTGTAAAATGATGTTTGATCAGAAATATGATAATATAATGCAATAATTAAGCTCACAAAATGTGCATAAAGCTTCTAAATTGCACGTGTAGCTTAAAAATCTCATTGAAATAGATACATATCTCAAATTGTATATAAGTTTACGAGCCCAAATTATTTGATAGTTCAATATTATTACATTAAGGTACATTTCTTTTAATCATTATTTGATTTATATTATTTATGTCAATTTTATTTAGAAGAGAATTTCAGTTTATCAATTTTTGGATTAATTATTACTTACACTTTTTAACATACGTTTATAAAATCATGACTGATTCATTCAACGAAACTTTGTTTTTATTCTATGCAGTTGCGGAACTATATATGTTGTACGTAACAAATAAAACATTATTAAATTTTAATAATGCATTCCTTCCTACCTAAAATCCTTCTGTCTTCTTAACTTTGCACATATACGTATTTATCTTCACGACCTACGTACATATGAACCAATGAGATTGGAAAGCATCGAATGTGCAGCTTCCACAATGAAATAATTAAGGATGACTTATCATTGTTTATATTAATACTGTATTTAAAGAAAAAGTTGCTCTACAAAATTAAAGTGATTGCTAGAATCCTACGCGAAATGGAGCGCTGAAAATTTTCCGATCTCAAGCTCGGCCTCGACGTCTCGGCGATTTTGCAGAGTTCGGCGCAGATTACCGAATCGCATCGAGGTCTTTGCAAGCCGGCAACGTTTTCTGACGTGACGTTCCTCTCGCTTCTGTTTCAGACCATATTCTGCCAGTGATCTACGGACATGAATTTGTGTCCGTTGTGACAAAGGAACAACCGACGTATCGCCCAATCGTCATCGACAGCAATTTTCTCATCGAAAAGCCGAAGTTCCCCTGTCCTAAGTGTCCGAGTGTCTTCAGTCGCAAGAATAATCTTTATTATCATGCGAAATTCGAGTGCGGCCAATCACCGCGGTTTAATTGTCCTTACTGCACTTATCGCACGAAACACGTATCGAACGTTCGTGCACACGTGCGCAGAAAACACCCTGGCAATAAAGTATATGCCATCGACGTGTGCAAAGTAGACTCGTAATATAAGATCAAGGTTTAATGCAGGCGTAGAATTTTTTTTTTTTGACGGGAAGGGATTCTACATTCATTTCTTGCACATAATCCTAAAGGGACGTGATATTATTTCTTTCATTCCGATTAGTTATAATACAAAATTTATTTTCATTATTTTATGTTTTCTATTTATTCTTCTGAAATGGTTACATCCCTTTTGATAAATTTGAAATACATTTATTATAAAAGAATTCATTCTTTTATATATATATATA